TGTGAGTTTCCAAGACTGGGAAACTCTTTATGGGATTAGAAAGCCCTGTCTTTCCCCACCCCTCTGAACAGCTGGTGGTTTCAAACTTCTGACCTTGCAGTTAGCAGCCTACTGTGTAGCCACTGTGCTACCAGGGCTTTTAGAAATTCTTTGTCTAACTGTAAAGTACTCCTTTGTGTAAATACACCATTCATTACTGATAAGCACTTGGCTGTTTCCACTTGCTGGCATTAAAACAATGCCTTTGTAAATAAGCTGGGACATGTATCATGTAGCAAGCGTATGTGCTCACCAGTGCTTTTGAGATGATTCTGACTTATGCTGATGCTGTGGGGGTACATACATTTCCAGTTGGGAAAGTACTGACACATCCTCCCTTATGTGGGGTGGATCTGTTTCATCTCCAAGGTATAAAAGAGTTATCAAATGTGTGTTTTCTTAACAACCTCATAGATGAAAACTACTTGAGCGGTATGATTTTTAATTTGCATCTCTCTCATTTGACTGAAGTCAAGTATCTTTTCATGGAGGTACAATTCGTTTTTTGTGTTTCCTTTTGTGGCAATTGGCTTGCTTTTCTGCTTGGTTGTTATTGTCTGTTTTAGGAAGGAAGCCTTGGCCTGTGATGCAAGTTGCAAATATTTTTAACAGTTTTATATTTGTCACTTGACTTCTCTGACTCCGAGTCTCTGCCCCACAATAGCCCACAGTTGATTTTAGTTCATTGGACTGATCCATCGTTTAACTGGTGGCTTCTGGATTTTCAGTCTTTGTCGGGAAGAGGACATTCCTCATTGTAGGCTCAGAAAGGAGTTCTCCAGTGGTAGCTGGTAGGACTTAAATGGCTTTCTTGTTCACATTTGTACCTTGATTCATTTGGAATCTGTCCTAGTGTAGCAGGGAAGGTATAGATTTAACTTAATCTTGTTATTGTTTAAGGCAATGCAAAAATAATGTCTTTCAGAAAAATTAATACTAGTCCCAAGAAAATGGAATTTAAAGATGCCCCAAATGTACAACTTTTCCAAAATGCTGCACCACATCCTGATAGCAACCACCAGGCCTACTCTTAGTGAATTATCTCCTGTCTTAGGGGTCTGCTGTTTGTGGGGGCATCTCACAGAGCTCACCAAGTGTTAAGGAAAATACCCCTATTGGGATGGCTGCTGGCAGGTCTCAAATCCAAACTTCAGAAGTCCGTCTGGAGGATCCACCCCATGCACAAGACTAGGGAAGCCAGTAAAGTCACACCTTGTAACAGACTGCCACTCAAGTCCCATGAACCAACAGTCAGGTAGACAGAGACAAACCAGATGCAGTGTCCCGCGTGAAGAAAGCTGATGGTGCCCGGCTATCAAAAGATATAGCGTCTGGGGACTTAAAGGCGTGAAGGTAAACGGCCATCTAGCTCAGAAGCAACAAAGCTCACATGGAAGCAGCACACCAACCTGTGCAATCATGAGGTGTCGAAGGGATCAGGTATCAGGCATCATCAGAACAAAAAAATCTTATCATAGTGAGTGAGGTGGGGAGTGCGGAGTGGAGACCCAAAGCCCATTTGTAGGCCACTGGACATCCCCTTACAGAAGGGTCTTGGGGAGGAGACGAGCCAGTTAGGGTGCCATGTAGCAACGATGAAAAATACAACTTTCCTCTAGTTCCTAAATGCTTCCTACCCCTCCTGCCCCCCACCCACTATCATGATCCCAATTCTACCTTGCAAGTCTGGCTAGACTAGAGGATGTACACTGCTATAGATAGGAACTGGAAACACAGGGGATCCAGGGTGTATGATCCCTTCAGGATCGGTGGTGTGAGTGGTGGTACTGGGAGGGTAAAGGGAGGGTGGGTTATAAAGGGGGAACCGATGATAAGGAACTACATGTTTCATCCTCCCTGGGGGATGAACAACCGAAAAGTGGGTGAAGGGAGACGTCAGACAGGACAAGATATGACAAAATAATAATTTATATATTATCAAGGGTTCGTGAGGGAGGGGGGCGCTGGGAGGGAGGGGTAAAAATGAGGACCTGATGCCGGGGGTTTAAGTGGAGAGGAAATGTTTTGAGAATGATGAGGGCAATGAAAGTACAAATGTGCTTTACACAAGTGATGTATGTATGGACTGTGATGAGTTGTATGAGCCCTTAATAAAACGATTAAAAACACAAAACAAAACCAGATGCAGTGTCCCAAGGATGCGCCCCCTTCTTGCTGGTAGTGAGCAGACTCATTATTTCATTTTATACCCAACCGGAAGGCTATCACAATTAGTCCTGTTAACAGGCACTCCCAACCAAAGCATGTAATTCAGTCATTGTCTGCCCCCACTGCTTACAAGGCCTAGCAGCAAAACAGTGCTGTCCTCAGGCCATTGAATGAATAGTCCTAACATTAAAAATATATGCATTCATTTTTTCCAAGGTCCAGAAAATTGGCAGCTCTTGCAGAAGCCTTAAAGAAGGAATCCCTTACAAAGGCTGAGCTGGGATTAGAACTGGAAGAACTGGAGCAGGCGGCGCTTCTTGTCCAGGAGGAAGAAGCTGTATTAGCAGCAGCTGGCTCCATCTCCAGGCAGCAGGCAGCTTGCTCCAGTGATTCGGACGCAAGTGATTCAGAGGAATCAGACAGTACCAGTACCTCATCCTCTGGAAGCCAAGACTCCGAGTCAGACCTAGATGAGTGCCAAGAGAATCAACCCACGACAGGGGATTCTTTGCAGCATCCCCTTCTTGAAGGAGGCAGTGCCTTGCTGTCCGATGAAAGTGGGCTTTGCAGAGGCCTGGGCCTCCTGATGTTGGAGAATTCTCAAGAGAAGTCACCGGCTCCTTCTCACGCCCCTCTGATAGAGGAGCTTGGAGAACAACTGAGAACCACAGTGCAGGTTTCTCAGCTCGAAAGCTCTGGTGCTGCAACCCCCAGCAGTGCCCAGGACAGAGACAACCAGCAGACCCCAGCTCACTGACTCCAAAGCGTTCTGTGGCCCTGTGGGCTAATCATCCAGCTGCTAACATGGTTAGAGCCTACATACTGGCTGCTCCTTAGGAGGAAGATGAGGCTGTCTGCCTATAATGATGTACAGCCTGGGAAACCCGGTGGAGCAGTTCTACTCTGTCTGTCCTGTTGGGGCACTTTGAGTTGGAATTGACATGGCAGCAGTGAGTTTTGGTCTTACTCATTGTCAAGAATTAATATCTGATTTGGTTTCAGCTGTGAACTAGAATTCCTCATTTTTTCTCTCCTTATTTTAGTATTACCATATTGTTTTTGGTCAGCTAATGCTTGTACCTTTTGCTTCACTTGTTGCAGCTTTCAAAACAAAAATCTAAATTATTTTTACCAAGATAAAACAAAGTATCTACCAAAGCAATTAATATGTAAAATATGAAAATTATAGTTCTGACAGAATCTCTAGAATGTGGAATCCATTAACATTTGTAAGGATTTACTGGGATATGCTTGACTTAGAATGTACTTCACATGCTCGCATTGGCTAAGTGTTTAGACTGTGTATCCCAAGTGCAGCCATGACCACAGTCAAGATGACAGACTCACCCTCTGCCCAGGGAGACACTGATCTCCTTCCTGTCATAAGCTTTAGTTGCATTTTCTAGAGTTTGACCTAAGTTGAATCGTGTAATGCATATACTCTTTCTTGTCAGCCTTATTCTACCAAGAGTAATTATTTTGAAATTCATCCATTCATCAAGAGGACTTAGGTTTGTTTGAGTGCTGCAGAGTGGTCTCATTGAATGGATTTCTCCGTTTACCTGTTTATGGACATATACATTTGGGTGGTTTCCAGTGTTTGACTCTTATAAATAAAGCTGTTACGAAAGATTTGTGTACAATTCTTTGTGTTGACAGGTCAATGCCAGAGTCATCTGGTAGATCTCATATTTCACTGTCAAATCTTACCATTCAACTTTCCCTCTAATAACAGTGCAGGAGCTTTTTAGTTCCTTCATGACCTGACCACCACGTGGTATGGTCAGTCATTTTAATTTTTACCATTCTAATCAGGGTGTTGTGCAATGAATTAAATGTTGGATTGCTAACCAAAAAGGTCAGTGGTTCAAACCAACCAGCTGCTCTGCAGGAGAAAGATTGGTCTGGTCGGTTCTGACCCATTGCCGACCTTATGCACAACAGAAGGAAACGCTGTCTGGTGCTGTGCCATCCTCACAATTGATCTTTCGCTTGAGCCCATTGTTGCAGCTCCAGTGTCAATCCATATTCTCTTTTTCGCTGCTCCCCTACTGTACTAAGCATGATATCCTTTTCCAGGGACTAGTCTCCCCTGACAACGTGTCCAAAGTATGTACCAGCCTTGCCTCTGAGGAGCACTCTGGCTGTACTTCTTCCAAGATAGATTGGTTTGTCCTTTTAGCAGCCCATGGGAACGTTAAATATTCTTCTCCAGCACCTCAATTCAAATGCATCAATTCTTCTTCTGTCTGTCTTATTCAATTCAACTTTCACATGCATATGCGACAATAGAAAATGCATATGAGGCAATTTTCCTAATGCAATGTGCCTTTTGATCTCTTGACTGCTGCTTCAAGAGCATTAACTGTGGATTCAGGCAAGAAAAAATCCTTGACAACTTTTCCCTTCTGTCAGTTTATCATGATGCTACCTATTGGACCAGTTGTGGGGAGATTGGTAGTCTTCACATTGAGTCATGATCCAAAATGAAGGCTGAATGTTTGATCTTCATCAGCAAGTACTTCAACTCCTCCTCACTTTCAGCAAGCAAGGTGTGTCATGTGCATATCTCAGGTTGTTCACTAGCCTTCCTCCAATCCTGATGCTGCATTCTTCACATAACCCAGCTTGTCTGATTGCTCGGCATACAGACTAAATAGGTATGGTGAGTGGAGACAGCCCTTTTGCACACCTTTCCTGATTTTGAACCATGCAATATTCCCTGGTTCCATTCTCACAACTGCCTCTGATCCCTGTGCAAGCTCTGCATGAATACACTGAAGGGTTTTAGAATTCCCCTTCTTTCCAAGGCTTCCAAAGTTTGTTATAATCCACATGGTCAAATGCTTTTGCATATTCAATAAAACATAAGGATATCTATGGAGACAGTACCTGGATTAGTGGTCCCTAGGAGGGATGACAGAGGAGGTTGGGAGGACATTGGAAGCTAATAATGATGAGTACAAGATTGAAGAAAATGTTCTATAACTGATTGTGGTGATGACTGGACAATGCTATTTGATGTTGTGTTAGGGTTCTCTAGAGAGATAAAACCAGATTGCTGATAATTTTATATATTAACTTATAAAGATGGATATATAACAAGAAATGAACTGTTAAATTATATACATATAGATAGATATATAATGCAAGAAGTGAACAGTTAAATTATAAAGCTGTAAGTACAAATGG